AAAACGCTGGGAGGGTACACCACTGCCCAATATTTTTCATAGCAGTAAGGACAGCAGAAGTTTGTTTTATGAGTGAAAGAAACATTTGTGTCATAAGGCTTTCATTTCACACACACACACAAAAGCCTTTATTAGGGACTTGGTACATTTAATTTGTTGATATAGGGCCTTCCTCTCTGCATCAAGGGCTGTACAATTAAGCAGATAATGGGGAGTTCTTCAGTAATTTCCTTGTCACACAGTGTATATATTAAGTTTTTGGCCTCAAACGTCAGAACGTGGGTTTTTTTTTTTTTTTTTTTTGAAGACTGTAAATAGTATTCTCGATTGAGTTAAGACTTTCATTTCTTATAAATAGTTGTCGCTTTATTGCCTTATAAACTGTGTTTATAAAGTAGATTCTAGTTTTATATATAAAATAAATATTGTTTTATTTAATATTAGATTCCCCTTAGAAAATCTCCCCAGCTATATTAGATGTATGACCATTTTTATATAGCTAGAATCGACCGTTGTTGACTTGGGAGTTCCTCTTGGACTGGTTCCTATACTCTCATGAAAACAAACCATTGAGAGATATTAATGAAACACCATGTTTACAAAATAGGATATTTGGTCGTTGAGGTACAGCTTGCACCACGCTGATGAGAGCCAACAGCCTGAAACGCGTACGTGGTTAGCTTTTCTTGGTTAGAAGGACCACATCTCACCATGGTTATCATGGATGTACCATGTATACTTGGAATAGATGGAACCACATTCCACCATTGTTATCATGGATTTATTAAGTGTACTTGGAATAGGCGGAACCACATCTCACCATGGTTATCATGGCTGTACCACGTGTATTTAGAATAGGCGGCACCACATCCCACCATGGTTATCATGGCTGTACCACGTATATTTGGATTAGACAGCACCACATCCAACCATGGTTATCATGGATGTACCATTATCACAGGCGTACAGACTTCGGTCTAGGTAGCCCACTATCCAATGGTGTACCATGTATACTTGGAATAGGCGGCACCACATCCCACCATGGTTATCATGGCTGTACCATATGTCCCTGGAATAAGTGATGCTAACAACACAGTAAAGGTCGTCCCAGAAGGACCACCGCACAGCCCCACCCCGTCTACCTTACGAGGTCGAGTTTACCCCTCCTGCCGCCCAATTAAAACCATCGATTCTAGTTGCCATGGTGATAACGTTGCCAGATCGACTTTCCACTAAGGGAGGGGTGACCGGGCGGGTATTGCACCCTGACACTCTACTTAATTTATAAACTCATTGACAACTCTATGATATTCTTCACCTCAGATGCTTAATTTTAAGTGGTCGTGATTCACGCCTACCTTTTAATTAATTTCATTTTTTATATACTTTAAAGAATAGGATCTGTTTTTGCGGAGATCGAAAACTATGTGTACTAGATATTCTAACATCCTTTAATTATGCTAATTTTAATTACTGTGTGCATAATGACTTTTAACTTTTAGAGAAAGAGTTGGATAAAGTTGAACAATATTATCCTGGCTAGTTTGTTAACTTTATAATGGAAATCTCTTTATAAGTTCAAACTTTTAGAATGAGTTTTTTTTATCTCAAACAATGTGGTCTTGGAGTCTATAAATTTTTATATACATCTATCTACACAAAAACCTCCTCTGAGCGTTCCACATCTACCTCCTTGAGCGACCACCTTTAAATGACTTAAAACAATATGATACGACCTTCCAATTAGAAGCTACCTCCAGGAGAGACTAGAAATTTATATTTAAAGAAAATTGACATAAAATAATCTCTTTCTTTATTGAAGAAAATTTCCCTCTGCGATAGCATTTAAGATTAATAGACATATATATGGCTGGAAATTTCTTTGTTTTTAATAAATTATATATAAGTTTCTAAGAAAGAATGAATTTTCATCAACTTGGGAAAAGATTTATTTAGATTTTCCTATTTTGATAAATTCACCTTAATTCCGAATATCTTTGATAGGAACCTTTTATTGAAACTAAAAGCGTTTATTATGATCAAATGTTTCATTTTTTAATGCTTTTCTAACTCTTAGCTGCAATGAAAATATAGTTTATATAAGAATAAACTTGAAAACACTTGTTTTTTCAATAAAGTAAAATTTGCCATGTTAAAGACAGGATTAGTCAAATGTGTAGGTAAATGGAACATGAAGGACATTATTGATTCTAACCTTGGCCCTAGTTTTGGCATGGTGCAACACGTCACGACGCCATGATTAAACTCAGTCACGCGACCGCCTCCTTAGAAACTTTCCTCATTAGGCCACCTGACACCACAGTGTTCGAAATTCTACACGAATACTACACATAAATGAAATATACATGGTAAATACAACAGTATATTGCTATTGTATCAGACTTACTGATATCAAGATAGCAATTTGAAGTAGAGAGAAAATAATTTTTGTGAATAATAATAATTATATTTCCATGCACACACACACACACAACACAACACACACAAGAATTTCATTCAAAATAATTTGAAAAAAAGTTTAAAACACATCAGATTTTTTTAACACGTTCAATCTGTCATATAAGCAAAGAACGCTTTTTAAATCAAAATGGATTGGTTTAAATGGTCAAATAAAAATGTGCAAATATGTAAAATGAAAATGTGAAAGATGTGAAAAATAAAAAAGAACATTCACCCCCAAAATATGGACTGCTACAAGATATTGAATGTGATAATATGCATCTAACTTTATAAATATCAAATGGCCTGTTTACATCGATAATATATTATTTGAACCAGCAACAATAAAAAAAGAATAAAAAGCGTGAGGCAAGAATGTTTTCTGTTTCTAGTATTTTTCAATTCCTTTGCTGCACAAATTCATTTGCGTGAATTTGAGGAAACCAAATTGGGCGTAAGTGCGGGAAGGATTTGATGTTGGTGCTATGAAATATGCCTGTCAGCTATAGTTGAAGAAAGTCCTGAAATATTCAACTAGATAATTAAAAGCTAAAAAAAAAGGCAAAACCAATATGGAATAAAGATAATGAAATATTGAAAATATGTGTTTTTTTTTATTTAGAAGATTGTCTAAACTTTTAAAACAAAGCATTTGCCTTTGCACAAAAAATATGATTAAAAAATACCTATACACCTTTGCTAATAATGATCCCTCTACAGTATATTCTCAGAAAATAATAAAATATAAATGTTTTAAGGGCATATTTTATATGTGACTGCATGTAACTGTGTGAGATGTGTAAAATGAATATAAATTAAATCTTGAAGAACTACAGCTTGCCTAAAATAATCGAGAGTTCATTTGATATAAAATTCAAATTTTAAGATATTCAGAAAATTTATATTTACAATTAAAATGTGATGCTTAATTAAACACATGTTGAAGAATACTTTCTAAAATAAATAAACTTTCAAAAATATATATAATAAAAACACAAAATAAAGCAATATAAATATATATTTCTATATCCATTTTTTAATAGAATGCATATATATGTATTTTATCAATTTTTACACAATTATATAATTTTAAAAATAAAAAAATAAAAACTCCTGATTTGTACTTTTGTTGTGCAACACTAAACACAAGAAAATTTAAAATTAATTAATATTATATATATTTGAAAATGTATATTAATAAAATAAAAAATAATGCGTTAAATATGCCATTAAAAATATTAAATTTCATTTAAAAAATTCCTCAAAGCGCCAAATATTTCTTTGAATACGTGGGGGCGCTTCATCGAATGATCTGGCAACCCTGCGTCGTTTGGTCGGCGTTCGTTTGCTCTGCGACCGTATAGCGCGGGAATCCAATTTGTTTTTCTTAAAGTTACTTTCAATCGGCATGTGCCATAGCCTCTAATATCAGGTAAGTTATATATGCGTGTTTTCATTTTATTATATTTTCACATATACCATTATATTTCAACTTTTATACTTTGTATACATTATATTGCCGATTGACATATAAGCCGTGTAAAATTATTCAAATTATAATATCACACATAATTATGTGTATTAAGCACGTGATTTAAGGATGATTGCTTTAATAGTAAAATATAATAAATGTTTTATATCGTAATTGAAATTGTTTAAAATGATAATTTATTGTTATTCAAGTTTTAATTATACATACACAAAGCACCCAAACGATACATTTGAAACATGATAAACATTTTCTTAAATATTATAAATTTCAAATCCCTTATTTACATTTTTAATTTTTGATATTTTAAAAGTTATATAAAATTGAATAAATAATAGAGTTTTAGCTATATTCTAGCAGATTACATTGGGCACTGTTTATTATGTTTTTTACAGTTTTTAGCTTATGATATTGAAATATATTTTTGAAAATATAGTCATTTTGAATGTAAAAATGTGTTTAAAAAAAAAGATAAGGTTTATCAAAATTATTTCTTTTACTAGTTTTAATTATAAATATATATGTATAGAGAAAAAAAAGTCAATATTTTATTTATCATACAATATTTTAAAAGAAGTGTTGATTTTATTCCATTGCAAAAGTTAGTTATAAGCTTTTACATGTAACCTATATATAGAAAAACAAAATTCTAAGCTTTTTTTTGAGTAAAGTAAAACCCCATGTTCAGTTTATATTGTAGAAAACTATATTTTTGTAGGGGGGAGGACTTATGTTTATCCTTCCTGTCTTTATCTGAGTGGTTGATGAAAGCATTTGTTAGAATGAAGTCACAGCTTCCCATTTATATCAAACCGTAGTTCCAATATTTATTTAACTCCATAAAATCTAAGCATCCAATATCGGACAATTAAAAGCCTAGTCCTATATCAACATTTTTTTTTTTTCTTTTGCACTAGTGAGTGCATATAAACCCAACAGGGATTTGATAAAGCACAATTTGGATTATAGATTATTGTGAAACGTCCCGTTCCAAACTGTGTGTTTTTAAAATGTTTTAATTATATATAATATAACGGTATAAAGAAATAATGAGCCTATAGCCTAGTGGGTATGGCATCTGCCCGGTAAGCGGAAGGTCGTGGGTTCGATTCCCATCCCTTGACACTTTTTTTATTTTATCCATTCTGACCAAAATCTATCCGTGAACTTCACACAGACAGAATAAGGCAATTATATAAGTAGATAATAAAAGAAAATAAGACCTAATCCAAATAATTTATTAGTGTGTGATTTGGATTATAGATTATAATAAAAGAAAAGAAGACCTAATCCAAACAACACACTAATAAATTATTTGGATTAGGTCTTATTTTCTTTTATTACAACAGGGGTTTGTAAAAGTTGCTTTGCCGTCTACATGTGTAGAGACATGTGGTGCACTTACAGTTTAAAAAAAGTAGTTGATAACCACCTACCAGAATTATCATGACCACATGGCACTAGGGGGGATAAGTAAAATGTGAAATGAATACAAAAAATTAGGTGAATTATTGTTGAATGATTTGTTTTTCTAAGGTCTTCATTCTCCTACTGCTGTCATGTAAGTTTGTTAGGCCAGGTTTCTCTTTGGACAGGCTGCCAACAGCATTACTAAGTTTCCTTGCATTGCTATAAAGTTGACAATTTATCTCCTTACATTGAGAATTGTTGTTTTGTTTCTTATCCCCTTGTGTAAAGATTACACGAATCCCATGAATTCATGATCTCATGGAATGGGGTATAGGGGTGCAGCTTTCGTTGATCATGGCACCAGGCACACTTTGGTGAAAGTCTGACTTTGCCTGTAATTTGAGGCTGTTCCTAACATGAGCTTGCTGTCGACTCTAACATGAGTAGACGAAAGCTCATTCATATTCCTGGAGAGGAACCCTTGCTGAGGTCTATCAACAGGGTCAGTTGAACTCAGGATTCTTAAAGAGGTAGTGTCCCTCCTGGTTACAGCATCAAGTCTACCAGAACAAGATACAATCATGTAGAGGGTTTACTGTACCTCCCAACAATGTCCACTACACCACAGCCAAGGTACAGAGGGGTGAGAACTGTTGTACATTCCTGAAACATGGGAGACTGTGAACACTTGTAGCAAAATCTTGTCCCACAATGTAGGAACGAGTTTTCTCTTCATATATATCTTATTCTTTTTATCTCCACACTGGGTGAAGTAGAATGTGTCTGCCTTTGTCATTAAGACTGGGAGCACTACTCAGTGGCAGGCTGACTTAGCTCCAAAAGAAATGGCCGCCTTTGATATGAGGAACAGATGTCACGTGCAGCCGCTCCTAACATGGAGTACAAACGCTGCTCATCCTGTATTCCTGGATTAGGAGCCCTTACAGGGTACTATCAGCCGGGCCAGCTGAGCCCAGGTTTTTTAGTGAGCTTGTTACTGCTCCCCCTCCTCCTTTTTCATCCGGGCTTGGGACCGGCAAAGGCGGAGTTGGATATATCTTCAATTGCTAAACATCATGCCTTACTTTTCAAATGTGGTTGAATCTATATAATACCTAGGCAAAGCCTGAATCCATTTAAATTGTTCAATATTTGTGAACATATATATTTTTGTCTTTTTTTTTGTATATTGTAGTGTGGTAGATATTTACAAATAAATACAGTTAAACCTGTCTATAGCGCCCCCTCTATATAGCGCCTCCCTCTCTATAGCACCATATTTTAAATACATAATACAATGCAATTTACATTAAATTTATTACCTCTGAATACCTCGGGACCAAAATTGGTCTTGATTATCGTAAATATTGAGGACTTATAGGTAATAAAAGATTTACTGGCCGAAGTATCTTCATTTTCAAGAAATATGAATGCCGGCCAGGCAGCCTCAATATTTACGATTACATTAAAAGTGACCTGTCTATAGCACCCCTTCTCTATAGCACCTTATTTTGGTGAGTCCCAAGAGGGGAGCGCTATAGACAGGTTTAACTGTATTTAGAATTGAAAAATACATGAAATTCTAACACTCTGTATTTAATGAGGATATAGAAGTCTAGATTTATAAATTGTAATAAAAAATTGTCTAGAAGTCTATAGCTATTTTCTGCTTAGAGGAGATTGCTGATATATTCGTGAAATTGTTTTTTTAGATTATGTGTTCTCCTCCAGTTGGATTATAGAAGGAAATAATGATAAGGCACAATTTGGATTATAGATTATAAACACAAGGTAATAAGACCATATCCAAATAAATAATAGTGTGATAGTGGATTTGGTCTTATTACCTTGTGTTTAGAAGGAAAGAAATGTCTCAATCAAGTTGATCCATCTAAGCTGTTCTGGCTGTGCGGATGTAAGGATTCTGTTTGTCTGCCAATAATTAGAGATTTGAAGCCTTAGGTAATTTTACAGGTTTCTAAAACCTAACTCAATGATTCATTCTTTTCATTGCATGTTGAACCCTAGCTTCTTACACTGCAGCTCATGAGTCACATGCCGCTCTTTGGATGTGAAGCTGCGGCTATTTATATAGTACCATATGCAAATATTATTTATGCAAGTACTATTTATTGTTGGCAAGAAAAAAATGTGTGGCTCTTTAAAAATTTTGAAAGGATAAGGCACAATTTGGATTATAGATTATAAACACAATTGGATTTGGTCTTATTACCTTGTGTTTAAAAACTTTAAAAGGATAAGGCACAATTTGGATTATAGATTATAAACACAATTGGATTTGGTCTTATTACCTTGTGTTTAAAAACTTTGAAAGGATAAGGCACAATTTGGATTATAGATTATAAACACAATTGGATTTGGTCTTATTACCTTGTGTTTAAAAACTTTAAAAGGATAAGGCACAATTTGGATTATAGATTATAAACACAATTGGATTTGGTCTTATTACCTTGTGTTTAAAAACTTTGAAAGGATAAGGCACAATTTGGATTATAGATTATAAACACAATTGGATTTGGTCTTATTACCTTGTGTTTAAAAGTTTTTATATTGTAATTTTTGGCTCTTCAAACTCAAAAGTTTGCCTACCCCTCTCTTAGTCAATATCTAAATTCCTTCAAAGTCCAAACTTTCAGACACTTTTATGTGTGGGGTTAAAAAACTTGTGCACTGTTATATATAAAATATAAGTTATACAACTTCTATCAACCTGTGTCAATAATTGTCTATATTTCTTTATTATTTTTTCTTTTAGTTTTGTAGAGATTTGTGTTTGTGGATCTACATCCTGCTAGTGTTGTCATTGCATTCTAAATTGGACATAACTGGTAGTTGTGCAATTAGCCCATGTAAGTGGGACATACTCTGGGCCAAATTATGATTACTCTTCATTTCCTGAATGCCTATTTTGATTTATTTACTTTTAAAAACATTTATTATACAATCAACTTGAGACTTGCACGGAAATAAAAAAAATTATAATTATCAGTAGTCCCAATTAAATAAATGTGTACCACCTCCTATATATATATTGTATGTTACCTATATAGAAATCCACACTATATTTGACCTATATCTGGATAATTTTTTTGACAGAATAAATGAGTTAGGTCTTGAAGAAAGTCATTCATAGTTTCCACCTTACAATATGCAAATTAGTTAAGTAACACTGATTTACATATTTTTGGATTGGAAATGGTGTAAATAAGTTTATTTTATAGGTTTTTTTTTTGTTTACATCTCTCCTTCCCCTTTTTTAATATATTATATATATATATTAAATATTACAACAATTTCTCATGATTCAATACAATAATCCCTTATATCTGCTTTCACATTTGCAGGTGCAAAGTCAAACTGCTTTCACATGTGTAGACATGTGGTGCGCTTACAGTAAAAAAGCAGTCGCTAACTACCCACCATGATTATCATGGTCTGTACCACGTGTACTAGGGATAAGCAAAAAATAACCCCATATATTAATATTAAGGTAAAATCATCGGTCTTCTAGGGTTAAGTTTCTTTTTTGAAAAATGTAATTTTCTAGCTTTTAGGCATGAAAGCCCTTCTTCTACAGGAAAATATTTTTGAAAATAGAGCAATCCATAAATAAATCTTTAATTAAAAAGGCATATATTGGATCAAAATATCATTTATTTTACCAATATTTCAGTTGGCTGGACGCCAACCTTTATCAAGGTATTATAACATTTTAAAGTGTGTCAACAACAAAACTCAGCGCCACATCATGAGTTTTGTTGTTGACACACTTTAAAATGTTATAATACCTTGATAAAGGTTGGCGTTCAGCCAACTGAAATATTGGTAAAATAAATAATATTTGATCCAATATATGCCTTTTTAATTAAACAGGAAAATATACGATGCAATATACCCCCAATAGAACTCAAGTTATAATCAAGTGGTATCTGATTATATAGCTCTTGTCTTATTGCCGATTTATTGCATCATATTTTCTCCTGTTGAAGAACTTTCAAGCCTGATAAGGCACAATTTGGATTATAGATTATAAACACAAGGTAATAAGACCAAATCCAAATAAATAAATAGTTGGTGATGTTTTGGTAACAGCGTTGTTACCATCTTCAGACAAAGTACTGAATGAGTACTTTTCCATTTTTACCATTTTACCATTCAGTACTTTTGTCTGAAGATGGTAACAATGCTGTTACCGAAATGTCACACACTATTTATTTATTTGGATTTGGTCTTATTACCTTGTGTTTAACTTTCAAGCCTGTGAGAGCTTAGATATCTAAATTAATGTTTTCAAAAAAAGAAACTTAACCCTGGAAGCCTTACGATATCACCTTAATTTCTCATGATGTTAAATTTTTTCTTGAGTTGTGTTCACCAAGGTTTTTTATCACACACAGGATTCTTTTGTCACCACCTTATAAGCCTCCTCCTCCAACATTTGAGATAGAAGCCAAGAACTATCAGGAAACTGTCCCCACCTGATGATGACCTTATCAAACATTCTTGATAATGTGGGGGGAGGAGACAGTCTTATCTACCCTGCCATACCTAGCACACATGTGCGGGGTTCTATACTGCCATCATCTTGGTGGTTGTGTATAGACCCTCAGCCACTATACAACACAAGTGTGATCTCTGTCTTGATCAATTTAATAAATATATTATTATTTGGTCAATAGTCAGGAATAAATTGATA